GAATATTAAATGCTTTAATACTATCTACGACATCCATAGTTACAAAATTCTGTTTGTACGTAACTTCTGGAGTAAGATCATCATGTATCGGACAGTTTCCATTGTTCACATTATGTGTATTATTGGATGGGTGGGATATTTTTTCTATTAAACTTTTTAATTCAGTGGTGGATGCTGCACTAGATCTTTTATCAAGTTCGACATATTCGCTCTACATGGAAAAAATTGTATTAATCAAAATACATACATTTACATCTTTTGTAAAGGTAAAAGTTTATATTTTTTACAGTTGTATTAAAAAAATAAAATGTATTCACAATACGCAAATATATTACCTTTGCTACGGGACAATTAAATTTAGAATTACTTTCCAATTTATAGTTCTTGTGTTTTCTAACTTCTGCTATATTCTTAATATTTCGTTTATTTATTGCAAGAAAATTTTTATTCCCAGTTGCCGTAGTTGACTTTATTGCAAGTGATTTTGTATCTTTTCTTGTTTTATTACAGGTCATACCCAAAGTTGTATTCTCATTCCTTTTTCCACCGCCTAGTTTCGTAATAAATTCAATGATAAAATCAATTTAATAAAAAATAACTATGTTATGTTCGCCTGTTATGTAATTACCAGACACATAAGGATTATAAATTTCAGACACATTAGGTTGTTTCAAATATTTCTTTCCTTTGATTACATTAGAAGATATCTTTTCTCGTAATTGTTGCGTTTGCAGCAATGTCCTACTTATGTTTGTAGCAATTTCTTCAACTTCAGTTTCCGACTTTTAAGAAGAAGACACGAGTTAATAGGATTTAATTGTGAAATTATATAAAACAAATTTAGGATTGTCTTACTTTGATACAAGTACAGGAATTTCCACTGTTTTCCTGTTTTGTAACAGTTTTTTGACACCATGTTTTTAAAGAAAACGTTGCTTCCTCACAATCGGATTTTATTACATTTTTTACGTCTTCTGTAAATGCCAATGCCTCGTGCAAAAATTTATTCAATTCTAAAAGATTTAACGTTTGCTCCATGCTTGTAATTAAATCTTGCTGTTCCTAGTGAACAAGAAAGAAATAAGAGCAAAATCAACAAAATGAAATGATCGGTAACAAAATGAAAAAAAAACAGATTAATGCAAAAAAGTAAATTAGGTGTCAATCAAAGTGTTAACTGTACTCGTTGTATAAATCATTTAAATTCAATATAATTATAAAATATTCAGTTGTTTCCTTTGATACATGTGCTAAAATTTTTACATGCAACCATTGTCAAACAAAGCT